CTTGATTGTTGTGTCTTGCATATACTGTCTGAAGACAAAGCAACGTGTTGTTTCGGGAGTAAGTTTACACTGTCATGTTCGTGAATCTTCCTTGGGTGTAGTTGATATACACGTAGTCTCTGGAGATAACGCATGGTGTGTTGTGTTTTGCATATACTGTTTGAAGACAAAGCAAGGTGTTCTTTCGGGAGTGAAGTTTAAACTGTACTGTACTTAAATCTTCCTTTGATGTACGCATATACTCTCTGAAGATAAGGCAAGGTGTATTTCGGCAGAAGTGAGATCTTTCCCTTCAAAGTCCCACGGAACCTCTGTCGGACTTTTGTATGTTATCATACCAGCCACCCACTCACTCACCCCCACCGAAAATTTTGATGCCTTGTTTGTAGTATACCCTTTTCACCCCACTCTTCCTTTACCCCATAGCTTCGGATACAAAGGTTGAAACGAGACCCATCAATGCCCCCCTCTTCCCTAACTGTGTGCTTCCATCTTTCGGTTTTCTGCAGGACCGATTGGCTTCACATTTTCGAGGACTATTTACCTACCTTGTGCAGATTGTGGCGAGCGACGGAAAGGGACAATCAGACGGAATGAGTGAAATATATGTTATGATGCTATGACCTCTATACGCCTCCTTCAATCAGAGCTATACTCAAACCGACGACTCTCAGCTCCCTTCCTTTGGTGAGGAGCTGGCTCCTTCCACGAGCCGGTTCCTCCTTTAGTAAGTCAATAAGCAAAGTGGCAAAGAGACAGAACACAGGAAAACGAGGAGTCCCATTTCCATTTCCATGTCCATTTTTAGTCTTGGCGATTCCAACTTACTTGTTTGCAGGCAAGAAGACAATTGCAGGGATTCCTGCAGCTGCGCAGTATGCTGACAGCGCAGCTGACGTATCGCCCGTGGAAGCACAGCCAACACCAACTAAGGGTTTCTTCATCTTTCGAAGTCGGTTCACTTGACTGACCAGCACAGTCATTCCGAGATCCTGTGCATACAACACATCAAAGGCTCAGATAAGTGGACAAAGAAATGCATGAGACCAGTCCAGTTATGTCCCTACCTCACCGCTCCTAACCTCCCCTTCCCTTCCCTCCCATTCCCGTTCCCTTCCCTTAAAACCACCCGTTCTTTTAACCCTTCTGCAAGGAACATGAATGTGAGCGAAGCACAGAAATCCAAATTGCAAATCACGCTGAAGTCCAAGTAGTCAAACAAAGAGCAGATGGCACATTGGAACCAAGAAACCATTCATATGAGAACAATTGTTGCATACCGTAAAGGTGCAGACCAGAACAAGAACCGACCTCTCTCACAAAGTAAAAGATAGCGTAGCGGAAGACTTAGATACCAATGATCCGAACAATCAATATTGCAGTGCAGTCCCGAACATACATCATTATCATCATCACTCCATGGTGTGAAGGGGTCTGGCGCTCACACAGGAAGAATGCGCCAGCCCCAACCATACACAGACGCAGAAGAGGGGGGTTAGAAGAAGAAGAGGGGAAGATGGGAACGTCGTCAACACCAAGTCTTCGGCACAAGCCCAAATAGTCCCTCGTCAAAATGTCTAAATCCCAATCTCGGGTCTGGATCCAATGTCGTCAAGCCTCAAGTCACAACTCTCTCTCTCTCTCTGTCGTAGTCTGCAGATACTGAGAAGCCAGATAGGGAGAGGGTGAAGAAGAGATGGACTTAGAAGAGGAAGAAGAAGAACTCTCTCTCTCTCTCTGTCCGGTACTAACCTGTGAAGCTGGCGCCTTGATGCAGGTACATCGAAGATGGAGCTGGAGCTATCGCGCCACAGGTAAGTCTCACTGGCCTCCGCCGGCCATCTCTCTCCAACACTACTACCACTACCACTACTTAGCGCCCTGCGCTGAAGACTACTCC